CGGGGTCAGGGATCCGTTCCGCTTCTTGTAAAGCGAGGCAACGCGAGATTCGCTCGGCGACTCTGGAAATGCAAGATCTCGCGAGGAAGCCATCTGGTCATCCAGGTAACTTCGACCCCCGAACGAATTACCGTCGACTAAGCTAAACCCAAGAGCGGGCGAATCGAGAGACGGCTTGTGCTTGTTTGCAGCGGGTGATTTATCCTCTCGCACGATACCCTTCCCTTTTCCGGATTCCCCAGGAGACAGAAGATATTCATCATCCATCTGGAACATCAGGTCACCCACAGACTGCCTCGATTTGAGCAAGGGGCTGCTACTAGCTGGAGTCGAGCTATCCTTTGTTGGAGTAGCTTTCACTCTCTGCGCTAATGGCGAGACAGCTGCCTTGTCACTATTCATCATACGTGGCTTGCCCTCGGAGGCGTCAATGCGATTGAGACGGGACCTGATCCTCATGGAGTCAATCCTCCGCTTTCTGTCTTCCTCTATTAAGGATACTACTTCGGGGTACTTTTCGAAGACATATTCTTCCGTGTTTCGACCCCGCGAAACAGGGAAGCTAGTCATCTGGTTGTCGCGGCAGACAGCGTCAAGCGCACCGAGCAAGACGTCATCAAGGTCCTCCAATAGCCTGCAAAAGATGTGAGAAACACAAACATGGTTGTACAATGTGCTTGCTCTCACCTGTTCGCCAGCAAGTCCTCCAAATTCAAGCATATGTACTCCAGAGCAGCATCCTTGAATTCCGTCACAAAACACGGAGCAATGGCATTGAGTAGATGGCACACACTGCGTGTGTTCACTAGAATATACTGATAAGTAAAAAATAACCAAGAGACAAGGAGTGTTAACTTACCAAACATTCCAAGCATCTTCTGGCAAATCTGAGCCAATCTGTCAATCATCAATTCATTGGCCACGAATGCAACATCGAGGACCAAATCTATAAAGTCTTCCAGATCCCTCGATCGGACATCATCAAAGAGCTCAGCTTCCGTGTCCGCATACATGTAGCGAAGAACAAACTTGAAAACATGCGGCTCGAAATGCCTGAGATCAATGCGAACCATGTGTTCCGAATCTGCCCGACGTGCCAATAGCCACATGCCTTCTGAGCGGCCAAAGAAGAGGGCATTGAAGAAGGGACATCTCTGGCAAATGACTTGGCTGTGTGCCTTCACCTCACTCCCATTCAGCTCGATGACCACATCAGCACTGTCAAAGAAGGCTGGGTCCCTGATAGCTCGCTCCATATCAGCTTTGAGAGATTTGGTCGGTTCAATCATAAGCCTAGCAGCCCTTTCCAAAGTCGAGAACCCCAAATGGCTAGCAATACGCATCACCTCGCTCCGAACTTGGCGATATCTAGAGGCACTCTCCGGCGAGTACCGCACCTGCTGCCAGACGTCCAAGATGCTGTCCGTGTATACAAAGAAAGCAATATTCAGGACAGTGAGTACATCAACGGCATGGATGATAACGTGCGTCTGGCCCCGACCGTCATGCTGGATAGTCAGAATGTCAGGAACAGAGGCGTGGTCCGTACTGCGGAAGTCCTGGAATGCTTTCCGCAGCACCATGCTGCGTCCTGTTAAAATGAATTCGTGCACCGGTATATGTATGTCAGATTGGCTGGTGCCGAGCCACACTGTCCCAGTTGGTGCTCTGGACTGTGATGTTGGGAACAATGGTTCGATCTCTGAAGACGACATGACGGCTCTCCTGATAGCTATGGCAGGCTCCATGTCCGTATGAGCGTCCTTCTCATCATTATGACTTCCCGGGACTATGGTTTCCTGTAGCGATTTGAATGGAGACAGAGGAAGGAGGTCCTTCCATAAGGTAGACTTGTCGACGTTGATTTGCTCTTTCGTGACCTCTGAATCGCGTTGCACAGCTGCATATGCCCCAAAGGCATTGCTGCATACGCCAATGACTCGAGATAAGCCGGGTACGCGAGCAAACTTGTAATCCTTCGATGCACCATCCTTCGTCTTTCCTCGCTTCTCCTTCCTCCAGGCCGAACCGGAGACGGTACAAATGACGATCGAACCATCCTGCCCAACATCCACATCTGCAGCAGCCATATGGGCTTTCTTGATGGACCAAACGCGAGTCGGCTGGGACAAGGAATTGCGGGTTTTAGATGGGTTGGTCGTGGATGTCGATATGGGCGGATGTTCTGTCTTGTTGACCTGAACTGTATATACTTCACCAAAGCTGGACAGCGCACAGATGGTATTTCCACCAGACTTGACCTGAACGATCTCGTTGACAGACGAACCATATCGTGTAGCCATGAAACTGTCCTTTATGAACCTCGAACTGACGTCCAGAGGAAACAAGAGCTTCGAATAGCCGTATTGCGAGAACACCCAGACTTCATGATTCTGGAGAAGAACTGCTGTCGCCTGATCGATAGCAGACACACTTTGGATCGGGGCGCTGAAAAGGGATGCTCCTACCCGCCGGGGCGTCGTTTGAATTTCGAGTGAACGAGCATCGGAGTCCACCAGTCCCAATTGCCCCTCGTTTTTACCAAATGTGTAGAGACCAGAGGTACTGAAGACCACCGAATGAATTGCCGATGCTGCTGCCCCAAGAATAGCCTCCTTCTTGAAGGGATTGAAAATCTGTCGAGGCGAGTTCTGTATTGGCACGTCGTCCCGATTATTGCTCCTTGGGAGACTGTAGCCAAGTTGGCCATATTTGTTGCTGCCCCAGCTGAAAATTTCGCCGCGGTCAGTGATCGCAAGAGTGTGGTCTTGGCCTAGGGCAACAGAAATCACCCTTCTATTTACCAGCCCACCACTATCTATGCAGACAAAACTAAATCGAGTTGACTCGTCCCCCGTACCTAGGCGCCCGCCGGGCCCGAACCCACAGAGGAAGAGGTTGGACTCGGGGTCAGTAGTGAGAATAGCTGTGTGAAGCTTCGACATGACTATGTTCTGGATCTTTATGGGCTTATTCTTCACCAACGCTGGCAGGTCCGTTTGGTGTCCGGATTCTTGATCGGAGTCAACCCTATCATCATCCGACCGTTGCTCCAGGAATTCACGGTAAAACCGTTGTAGGAGGTGCTCGGGTCGTTTGAGAGTGACTCTTTCGGGGTATTGACGATCATCTTGATCTCCAACTCCTAGATTCAGATTCTTGTTGCTCCCAAAGGTGAAGACTTCGTCACCAGACAGGTTAATCCTGGGCTTCATAATACTCCTCGCACTGCGTGGGTCTTCGTCTAAGCCTTCTCCATGGGACGATACATCGGAAGCAGCATCACTGTTATCCATATCTGTAAGAAGAGGGTCTTGAGCTGTCGTCCGGGAGCTGATACTTTTGATATCGCGGGTCGCAATCGTCGCACCATACACGTCGAATGGACTATAGCCTTCTCGGTCCTTAATCTTAATCAACCCTCCGCTTGGGTGCCCGGGATTGCTTGCTTTGCTGAAATCTGTAGCATCGCGCATATCCCGAGCCATCAAGGCCTGGGCGATCGTTGCATTTCCTGCGTATAAAGCTCGATGTAAAGCCGTCCAGCCACTTTCCCAGTCTTGCGCATAGATATCAAGAGCGGGAATCTCAAGCAGAGCTATGGCAAATTCGATTGCAGTATCTTTTGACGAGGACGCCACATGATGAAGCAGGGTTCGACCGTGATGATCCCGTGCATTCAATTCCTCCCGAGACAACGTCTTGCCGGGGCGCAGGCTACCACCCCGATCCGGTATGGGAGTTCCTGGGGAGGTCCCCGTCAATTTTCTGCTCTTCGTCGACGTACCTGGCGAAGAGGCTATCACGGACCCGGGGCTTCCCGGCTTGAAGGGAGAAGCCCCTCCGGTTCCCGTCCGCTGGCTGCCACTCGTATAGGTGGCCGTTGCCAGGAACCGCCGAAAGCTCTCAACGTCATCGTAAAAGAAGAAACCCCAGAGCTTGCTACTCATGTGCTCAAAGTTGTAGTGTGTCAGAAACTCTTATCAACCCAGAACCAGAGCGTCGCTGTAACCGCAGAGGGTTGGCGGCGCACCAGCAAGAGTGTGGGTGACAAGAGTGTTCTGACCGGACAGAAAAGGAGGGGTTGACGATAGTCAACGCGGGGAGGATGCAATCTTTCGGAGGCTTCTCGAGAAAGGATGTCTGGGCCGTAGATGGAGGGTTAGGACGTGGTAAGTGATGGCTTTTTGCCGATGAGGATAGTGAAGCAAATCGAACGCGGAGATGCGGTGGCGATGATAGCTATACGTCGGACGAATATTGGACTCGGAGTCTTGGTGAACAGCGGGGGAGGGAAGGGCTCAGCGCGTCGGGTAAGCTCGAGGGAAGGTACGCGACCGCGAAATCAAGTCGGATGACCGGGTTCAAGGAGGGATGGAGGCTATTAGCCGGACAGGAAGTAAGATGGACTGAAGGGCGTTCGCAGGGAAGCACAGACTGATTATGCCTTTCCTTCTGATCCGTGGATAATACTGTCCGGGCGGTGGCCAATCGCAGCGGCGCACCCCTCCATGTTCTCCGACGGACGGCGAGGAGCATTTCATTAATGAAGTAAGTATGCTATAAGGGAAATGTGTAACCACCATCTTTTACAAGACTAGTATCTCTGCTATTGATGCTGGTATCGGAGATCATTTGTATGATATCCAGGTACTGAACACAGGTATTGCAACATTCATGTGTACTTATCTCATGCCCTAACCCGTGCTACTACATAAGTATATCTTTTGTAGATCCAGCCGTTCGGTCGGTTACATTTAATACTCATTAGAGTATCATGACTACAGCCTACAGCTTGGCAGATTGTATACTACATACCTCTATCCCCCCCGACAATAGTACACCAAATGAGGCGATCTCACAAGATTAAGTTATCATCCAGACACTATCATCATGATCCTGGCGTATCGCATAGAAATCGCTAAATATCTATCCATTAGTAGGCCCTAAAGTATTCTTCTGGCTTATATATCAAATCATCTGTAGATCCGCCAACAACAGCCCGGTTAGCTCAATTGGTCAGAGCGTCGGACTTTTACGATCACATGTGATCCGAAGGCTGCGAGTTCGACCCTCGCATCGGGCGATCTTTTTTCTTTTTCACTTTTGTCGCAGTAGCTTAAATTTTTGCTGGCATCATACGTAATATCAGTCAGGATTGGGCTCCCAACGAATAACAGGAACAATGGTGATGACCCGAACAATATGAAATTGTGCTATTTCGTATCGCTTCAAATCCGGTACACAGGTGGATCTATCTATCTCCACGGTCGTACATTGGCCAATGTGGCCCGCTTTTTGCTTATCACATTCAAATCAGATAGATATGCCGTCACGTTATCAGAAGTTGCCCGGTTAGCTCAATTGGTCAGAGCGTCGGACTTTTATGATCATTCGTAATCCGAAGGCTGCGAGTTCGACCCTCGCATCGGGCGATCTTTTTTTATTTTTTGTCCTTCGCGCGGCCGACACCAACACCACATCAAAATTAGTATTGTCCAATCTCGCCCGTTATCTGTGAGGTGGATATACAAATTAAGCCGTCGCACAGTCATACCGGACTAGACAGTCTTCAGCAAAGCACTTCCTAACTGTCAGTGAGTATTCTAAGGGCTTGCTTGCCACACTCCCAAGTTCCTTTCTGTTTTACATGTGCTCATGGCTTATTTATTCACTTACTACATCTCTCAGATGTATTCTACGCTGTCGCCGTTCTCGTCGTGTTTACCCAGACTCAAACCCTTACACTATTGAGGGCCCCCCTTCCTATTGTCTTTGTCCCATCATCCATGTCAATCAGTGGTTGTACTAAAAATACCCCCTTCTATCCACCTTTATCACTCGACGTATTGCTTTGTCTATCCAAAGTGACATAGAACACCCTGGCATGACCCTACTGTACGTCGCTGTCCTTGTGCATGTTGTCAGGTGGACACTATATCCAACCATCTTATCAAGATATATTTACAGGGATGCGCACAACTGAGCGAATACATCATACTGTCATGCTCTGCTTTAGTCCCTGGCAAGCATTTGTTGTCACTCACATCTTGCGTAGGCTTTGCTGAAAATGTCAATGTCTCCACATTGTTGCAGGGACCCTGGTCGGCTGTTGTGATGGACAATGCTTAAAGCATATTCAATCGCCAATAATGGAGTTTTCAGGGCTCTATTGGCTACTTGTGTCAACCAGATTACTAGGAATGATTTTGGCCTGACTACTTCTTTTACCAATAATGTTTCTTCGACGCCGTATTCAGAATATTCTTAGCTGTTCCGTAGGTATAGATTGACTACATACAGTAGATAGCGCACTACGGAATCCGTGGAGCCTATTGTCAGGAAACATAATAAAATCTTCTTCTTCTTCTTCTTCTTCTTCTTCTCTCTTTTTTTTTTTTTTTATAAAGGTTTTGTCTTTTTCATTCCTCCCCCCAAGTATTCCATAAGGAAGTATACTAAATCATAACCCCTTCTAGGCGTAGATCCTCTCTGCCTCAGGCATGATGAAAGCTTCTTCCGGGGGAAAGAAGGCGGTGTGTAAGCTGGCACAGTAGTAGGTAACTGTGCCTGTGGCTGCCTGTACTCCGTAGTAATCTCAGCAATCACGGGTCTTCACATACATTCTATCCATCAGGTAGGCAACAATCGGCCACAAGGCTACAAACCCGTCAAGAAAACAGTCCAAACAAAGGTACGAAAGATGAAGTGTCCAGACCCTATCATCGTGATCTAGGTTAGCGCATACAGCTGTACCACCAACTGGCTCCAAACAACCACATCCAAGTCTCTTGAGAGATGCGCCAGAGCCGATTCCCATTAGCTTGCTTGCTTTCTTTACTTCCAAATTTACTCATCCCTTTTTTTTTTTCCCCGATAGAGTCTCACGCTTTTCCTGGGGATGATGCATCACCTATCATTTTTCCCCGATTCGGGGTCTACGATGAATTAAGAGTCTAGGTTGTCTAAGGGGTCTTAGCCAGCCGCCTAGGCTGCAAACCTCGCAGTTCCGGTGCATCATGCCGGCAGTGTGTTGTACAGTAGGCTAGATTGCATTGGCTCGAGCTGAAAGGTATAGCTACAGGCTAAGGTACAGTGCCTTGTAGACCGGGCAACTGGCGTCTGCTCTCCACCTAACCTGCAGGCCGTTGCAGGTGAGGCAGCCAGTCCCAGGACACTTGGGGGGTGTGTGGTCCATGCTCTCGGTGCTCGGAGGCTGTCTGCGCTCTGCGATCCACCCCCATCTCGTCGGTCTGCGTCGTAGACATCCCAAGCTGAGACTGTCAGTTGGCTCTGAAGCCTGTTTGGCTTCAAAGAAATTGCCGACCATCTTCGACAGCGGCTCAGAAGCAAGACATTGCTGTGTAGAAGGTTTCGCGGGCACCACAGGAAGGGCTGAGATGGCTAAAGTTAGAAAGTATGGAATGTTGTCATGGATAGGGATTATCATGCAAGTTGATTGATCGCCCAGGCGCAAGCGGTAACCTTGGGAGGCTAACCTCCTTAGAGGATAGTTTGAATCTAGTACGTAGTACCGTTCCAGATGACAAGAGCCCCCCTTCTCTTTTCAATTTCGGGTAAGATACCACGCATCTAACGGGGTAATTACGAATGCCTGGCAGGTCCCCGTGCCAGTTGGCAGCCAGCCACGCCTATCAGGCTATGACTTCATGCTATCACCGCTTGATCAGCTTTTCCTTATCTCTCGGCCAATACCGTTCTGTGACGCTCACACTAGACTGGCCGTACCTGGTTCATACTGGTTCATACAGAACTGCAGCCGCAGCTTGCGGCTTGACCGCCTTCCAATCGCCCGTTTTAATCTCCAGCTGCAACTCCTGCGCCATAATCTTGGTCCGTCCAAAAATACAGAGCACAAGAGCATTCCCTCGATCAAGTGGAAGCTCCCTTACTGACTGAATCTCTCGTAGCCATTGATTGTACTGTCCCAGATCGCATGGTTTATTTGATTTGGGGGACCTGCTGTGGCACCCGTCAGCCTGACTGACTGACCGCTCGCACTTGACCTGCTTCCTTTCAAACCACCGAGTCACCGGGTGTGCGTCACAGACCCTCTGCGCCCGTACGCTTGACTGAACAGACTGACTTTCATTACCATAACGCTCTGTCTCTCTCTCTCTCGCTCGCTCTCTCTTCCCTCTCTTTCCTCTCTTCCTTTTCCTCTCCATTCTTCCACTTCCTACGTTTCATCCTTCTTCCGTGGATCCTGCTCTCCTATAACTCTTCCCCCCTTTTTGACCATCTCCTCTTCTTCCCTCTCCTGTAGTCCCCATCATGCGTTCCTAAAACCCCTTGGTTCTCCCCATTACGGTGAGAACGCCGTGCACCCCCGGACGCCTGGATCCGCCCAAGTCGTCAGTGCGGAGAAGCTCCCAAGGTTGTCTAGACCGCATGCTCCAAATGCTCCAACATCTTATTGTTGCCTGAGCACAGCAAACGATGATATCGGCGTCCCTCATTTTATCTCAATCAGTGCCTGTTACTTAGCACTCAGCCTTTCTCCCCCCCTCTTCTTCCATCTGCTTCCCTTTGTCGACCTTAACTCGGGCTGTTGGGCTTGTTAGCATGGCCTTCCGCAGTGGGACCGTCACCTCCCCATTTCCTTGATCTACAAACATACACGCAGCGGTCGTTCTGGACGCTGTGTCCGCTTGAAGACGACTCAGTTACATTTTATTTCCATTTCTTAAATTATCCGCAGTTTTTATCATGCATCAACACCCCCGATCTCCGGCGCCCGCGGCGCCTCCCTCCGCATCCAGGCCGGGCGCAAACCGCTCCGATGACCGCCCGAACTCTCCAGCTTTCGACCCCAGGGTACAACTTACACGGGGATTGGGCATAGAGACGGAGGCTAGGTCATCTGGACAGACATCCAGTTCACGCCCAGCGAAAGAAGCAATATCGAAGCTCAATCAGCTCGTAACGGTATGGCTTGGAATCGGCTTCTAGTCCCCTTATCTTTGTTACAAAGGGCCCATTGATTAATCGTATTGTGCGTCTAGAATTATCACACAAAAGCTGCTCTAGTAATACTGGCTTCCCGGATCGACTTCACTCGCTCAGACGATACACCGAAAATAAATCCCAAAGTCAATCGATGGGTATGCTACGTCCCCACATATGCAGAGCCTCTGCTTCCCATCAATTGTACCTAGTAACCATATACCCTGCTAACTACTATGCTCCATCTCCTAGTTCGCCATCGATTTAGAAGATATTGACGCCCTCCGAGAGCAGCTTCGGTTTTGGCGGATAAACGACGTTAGCGAACAACCGCCTCCGCCGTTGATCATTGAGACGTATCTGGATACGAAAGATCTGACGAATAACCAAAGTCTCGTTGCCTTGGATGAGCAAGGGAAACGATTCGATGTTCTGGAATCTCTTTCTAGGTCTTCAGAGGCACATGCCAAGGGGCCGGTATCGTCCAGGTCCGAGGATGTTATTCTAGAGCGATGGAGGGTGGAACTGGGGAATACGCCGAACAAGGCACTACCGGCAGATCTTGGCTCTATTCTGCCAAAAATATATAAACAGAGTATCGTGACGTTCAGAACATTGTTCACCTACTCCAAGTTGTTACCCGCGTGGAAGCTCGCGAAGCGCAACGGGAGGCTTCATGCGCACCCGGCGCTTCAGATCCGGTATCGTATCTTGGTTGGGAAACCCAATCCGGACGACTCCAGGCCGGATCGCCTGACTACGCCGCTGTTTGACAGCAGTAATAAGGTGGTCGAAACGTATACCTTTGGGACCACGGAGTCGCCGGTTGGATACCTGTCCATCCAAGTGACCTATCGAACCAGCTGTGAGTTTCGAGTGGACGATTCGGAGGCCCTCCTGAGTTCACGATTCATGGGGGCCGATGACGAGGTCTTTCGCCCTTCACTTCCAAGCAGGGAATCCAACCTCAAGGCCGCCAATTCCGGGGTCGGATCAGCTCCTGTCGAGAAACGAACTGTCGAAGACCCTGACCCAAGTCGAGCTTATGGGAGTCTTTCAACATTCCACCGTGTCGGCCCTACGACCAGTGCGAGTCCAATATCAGCTCTTCGCGCCGCC